TTTGGGGGGGGGGGGAGCTTTTGTATGGCCCTAATTTGGCGATAAAGGTGCCCGTGTAACTAAATATAGTAAATAGATTTAATAGATTGTCATAGAAGAACAAAACAAAATGAACTAATAGTATTTTTATTTTCAAGAAAAGAAACTACAAAAAATAAAAATACAAAAAAAAAAGAAGAAGAAATAATAACTATTTAAACAATACAATTCTTTTAATTTTTATTTATATTGATTTATTTTGCACCATTAAATTCTAATTCAACACTTGCTCAATCTCAAAACAAAGTTTTTGACAATATATGACGGGCCCCATGATTAATCGTGATATCAAGCTACTATGTACAATAATGACATTCAAAATCACTTTTGAACTATTTAGTATGTAAATTATTTTAACCAGTTAGGGAAGTTTGTTAGAATTTGTTTAAGTATGGGTACCCAAAGACGATGGTTTGAGACCACCAATGTTGCGTCCTGTATCCCCTGCACATATGAGATGTGATTATTCAGTGTTTAGTGCGTGTCCGTGTGTGTGTGCGCGCGAGAGGGAGAGAGAGAGAGAGTTTGTGTGTGTGTGTGTGGGGGGGGGGGGGTCATTTCCACTTGCAATATAAAAAATAAATTTTAGGGGTAGGTTGAAAATGTAGGCATTTGTGAAATTCTCGCTACTTCACTTTTTTGCTATTTTAAAGTGATCTGCAAAATATGTGCAGCTTCTAGGATTGCTGAAACGTTTAAATAACTGCTTAAACTTCTACAGTTCTCTTTACCATTCAATAGAAAGTTAGAAGGCCTTTTTCAAATCCAATTTTAAATGCATTGTCACTTTTGTGCTCGACTTACTCAAACAATTCGTAGGGATTCATAATATAGAAGCGGTTGTGGAACCCTGTTTGGTTCTTTTAACAATAAATAATGTATCACTGACATTTTGATGATTTCCATAATTTGATAACAGACGTGAAAGATTATATTAACTGTCAAATATACCGTTACCATGGGCGCCCGCAGAAAACTTTCAAGGGGGAGGGGGAAATCGATTAACTTTCCAGGGG